GATCATTTGGTATATTTATGTTAAGTAGTATCTTGTATATACAAGCTGTTGTTAGGTTATTACCTGGAGAGGTATTTACATGAGCATGTTTTGCTTGTTTACCGATCCAGACAATGTTTAAACAATTTGAATTTCTCAAAGGATAACTTCGAAAACAAACGAAACAAACATTTATTTAAAAATCTGTTAAGCGAAAAGAAAATGTCCGGAATAGGGGGTTTCCTGATTAATGGGGTTTCTCCGAGTACAGATCATATTTCTAAACAAAACGAAGTACAGGCCTGTACGCGCAAAAAAATGAGTGAAAACAGTTTCCGAATTTTATATCGAGTATAAAATCACGTTTGTCAAAGTCAAAGCCCAATTTGACAAAAACGCAATTAAAAATTTGTTTGAAGTGTTTTTGGCTAAGATAACCGAGCTACACTGATGGATCAAATGCCACGTTTTTGTTAAGTGTGTTGCAATGGATTGCGATTGACATTTACCATGCCAACCAATCAGAAATGATATTTGCCCTCTAGATCTGACATTGACTCATAAACCGGAATACACCACGATATTATATTGTGAAATTATCCATCAAAGCAAGAAACGTGAAATTAAATTGAGACAATGGACGTTAGGAGCTGCAACTGTGACAGCCAAATGGGACAATAACTATTACACAATTTGGGAAGGGCGTCACAGGTCGCCAACAGCCTGATGTCCGCTCCGTCTCGGGCGCTGCCTGCCTTTCGTGAGATGGACAGAATCATCCAATCGAACAAGGCTGCTGTCATTCTTTGGGTTTATTTCGGTTCGGTGAACTGGTAAATGGTACATTAACTGCAACAGTAATCTTTACGATTGTTTCAAAGTCTATTAGGACATGTTTCCAACGGAGACGAGAACTACAACGAAAGCTCGTTAAATGTTCTTTTATCCAACTCTGTCCAGAAGGGCATATCATTTAGTAGCCAGTCTGACGGCGCGGTAGCCTAGTGGTTAAAGCGTCACCTCATTACGTCGAAGGACCGGGTTCGATTCATTGGTAAAGTATTACAAATGTGTAAAGCCCATTTCTTGTGTGCCCCGCCGTGCTATTGCTGGAGTGTTGCAAAAAGCGATGTAAAACCATATTTACTAGTAGGCTAGTGTTCTCAGGCGTCGTAATTAAATTTGAAAAGTTACTTCCCTTGGAAGTGCCAGGATTTGCGATTTCTTCCTGATTTTTACACTCGGTTTGCTAGCCCCATAGACGTGGACATTTGCATTTTGGTAAATGTTTACTGCCTTTTAATTGCTTTAGGCCTTCCTCCTACGTCGAGCAGTCACGCTGCGAAATTTCTGAAATACCACTCAAAGTATACCACACCGCGCACTGAAACATGACGTAAAACAAGGGATCGACACAATCATAAACACTGCCCTATCAGCAATATACTCGTGCTGCCGGTTTTACATATAAACCCGTGACTATCCGGGGTAGAATAGGTCTTCAGCAACCCATGCTTGTCGTTAAAGGCAACAAAGCTTGTCAGAAGAGGCGATTGACGGGATGGGGTGGTCAGGGCTCGCTGACATGGTTGATGCAGGTCATCGTATCCGACTTGCGTAGATCAATGTTCATGATGTCATTCACTGGATTGTCTGATCCGGACTCGATTATTTACAGACCGTCGTTATATAGCTGGAATATTGCTGCGTGTGGCGTTGAACAAAAAACAAACAAAAAAACACCGATAAACATCAGAACCTCATGTAGTATTTTCCTGTGAGCAAGTTCAGCTAACTTGCCGTGTTATTACTGGCCTCCTTTGAAACAAGCGTCAAAGAACCAACACTTTTGAAATACAAACTTCTCAGTTCGAATTTTTAAAGCTAAACTCGTATTCATTTCCAGCCACGCTATTCTTGAATCAGCCACGCACCCTAGGGCAAATTTCTTGAAATTTTCAATTCCATTTTGCGATGTACTGACGTTTGAAGAAAATCGGAAACTGCTGGTGTGGATTTCAATTTGACACATGACACAACTTCAATGGATCCACGTATATCGTAACAAGGTTTTTGTTGGGTACGTAATTACAACACTGACGATCCACATTGCAAAATCGTCACTTTATACCTCAAGTATAGTCATTAAAACGCACGGTTTATAATAAGGGCTGTTACTGGTCAACGGGAAATTTCAAATTATGAAGTCACGTGAAACTGATAAAGCAAGTAAACAGATAAAAACTTTTTTGATTTTGTTGCGAATATAAATTTTCTTTGACACCTTTAGTCAATTTCTGAGAGAAAAAATCACAATATTCATAGAAATATTGAAATGTCCAAGCGAAAGTGCTGAAATCACACGCTCCGTAATCGGCTTCCAAAAGAAACAAATTTGAGGGCGTGGTACCGGCGCGGGACGTGTCAAAAGTTTTCAAAAGCTGTTGTGTGATTCCTAGCGGTAGTACGTATACTGATTCTGCTATTTGTGTTCATCCTACCCCTACCCCCCCCCCCCCCACCCCCCCACCCACCCCCCCCACCCCCCACCCCCACCCGAAAAAAAACAACCAAAAAAACAAAACAAAAAAACCCAACAACAATATTGCATATTGTTGAATGTGTGATTTACCACCTTTGATCTTGATTGGTTGTGTCATAAGTGAGATGCCTCTCCTTAATACCCATTGTCTTTCTTATCGTCAAGCTTGGGGGGGGGGGGGGGGGGGGATTTGTACCTGTTATAATAGGTGCTTGGCAAGTAAGAACACCCTAAACAAGCTCCATGTCAGACTGGGCGCCGGTCCAATGTTTCGCAGTGCGCAGCGATGCAAACACCGGGTTCTCGTTTTAACCACAATTAGGGGAATCCCCCCAATGGTGGAATGTTTTATTTGGGGGACGACTCACCTGTCATTTTTATCGCCATTTTTACGCCATTTCCCTTTTCAATTTTCATTTTCGTCAGGAATTTATAATTAAGTATGTCCGAAAGTATTCAAATCTGCAAAATTGCTATGTTGAGTACTTGCCTTTTAAACATTTTGTACGAATCTGATGGTAGATGGCTATTTGTTCACGTTTGTTTAACTTGAAAATAAATCTAGCACTGTGCAAATCCGTGATCTAGTTGTTGTACCTATGATTGTTCTATAACTTATCGGGGCGGAGGGGTAGCCAAGTAGTTGAAGCGTTCGCTCGTCACGCCGCAGGCCCGGGTTCGATTTCCCACATTGGTACAATGGTGTCCACCGCCGTGCTATTGCTGGAATATTGCGGCGTCAAAACATACTCTCACTAACTCTGTCACTTATCGACAGACCCTAGGAAATCCAACATGGATCAAATATTTCATCGTGTTCAATTCTTTGAGAAACACGTTTCCTGAAAATGTTCCAAATCTAAACAATGACCTACCCTATTTCAGCATGTACTACATAGATTAATTGTTGCAATACAAATATATTATTTCGCTCGTTTTTCTAATTATGTTAATCCCTCGAACCCAGAGTGACAGTGTTTTGTTTGTTTTTAAATTGGTTTTTTTTAAAAGTAATTCTATTTCAAAATCCCGTACCCTTTATATATGTATATGTAATAAGTAAAATTAATTTGTGAACAGTATTGTTATCGCCTTATTTTGTTCTGCATATAAACTATGAAACCTCATACTGTCAATGTTTATATTAGACGTGGGTTCGAGAGTATCAAGGGGGATAACTCTGAATCACTCTCCTCGATACCTGATACTGAAAAAAAACTATTACACTAATGTGTTCTTATCCGTCACGCTTAACACGTTAAATGGATAAACTGTCTACTGAATACTACGCCTTTGTTCACGAGTAAAGGATTAGTGATTTGATACAGAGAGCTTACATGGGATGACATACGTCACGTTTCTTCATTTTCATTCCGGCTCTGCTAATTCCTCCATTATGTTGCAAAGTATTAATGGATGTGAAGCTATTACGGCCAGTGCCTGGTTGTAGAACATGTTGTTTGTCATGCCAATGAAGTTAGGGTTTGGTTTCCTTGCAGAATCACCAGATACAATGAACAGATTGATAGTGTTAAGAATATACTCTTCCAAAAAAGAAACGCACAGGTAGTATGTAGTTCGTTGCACCTGACTACACAAAACATCCGGTTTATAAATTGGATATACGTTATTGGAAAATGTTGGTGGCCTGATATTCGACAAACGGTGCGTCAAACTCAGCCATTGTCGATTTTCAATGTCTTATACGGCATTGTTTTCACACTTGTTCAAAAGTGGCACGGAGGAAAACAGTAAAGCAAAATGCACGTGCAAGTTATGTTATTCGTAACTCATGGTCGTGGCTAAATAGCAAACATAGGCCATTAATTTACTATATTAAATTAAAATATATCGATTTTATTTGGTACAATAAATTGACTAAAATCTACTGTGCTTTTCGTGTTTTTGGAGAGTGTATATTCACGTTCACATGAATTCATATTTCTTGAGAATGTTGGGTTAGTTTGCTTTGTGTGTAATCATGCTGTCAGTCTGGTTGTTTGTGTGTTTTAATCTATCTGTGTCGCCGTCATACAGCTGGAATATTCCCGAGTGCGGCCGTAAACAACAAACAGACATAGAAAGAGAATTTATGAAAGTCAACTTCAAGAAGCTGACATCCATAAATTCTCTTCCTTTATTTGAATCACTTCCAAATGCCTTTCAAAGACTTAACAAACAAACAAACAATCTATTTGTGTGTCTCTTATTGTGACTCCCTCTATCCTCTCTGTTTCTCGCTCTCTTTCTCTCTCCTTCCGTGAGTATCTGTCTCGCCCTCTCCCTACAATAGAGAACAAATGTGGTGAGTGAGTGAGTATGGTTTTACGCCGCTTTTAGCAATATTCCTGCAATATCACGGCGGGGGTCACCAGAAATGGGCTTCACACATTGTACCCATGTCGGGAATCGAACCCGGGTCTTCGGCGTAACGAGCGAACGCTTTAATCACTAGACTACCCGACCGCCCCGAACAAATATGGAAACCAACGGAAGACAATGGCGGGCAATGAAGATAGGGACCATCCACAGACACATGGCGTCCAGTAAGGGGAAGTAATGGACAGTACAGAAAGATAGCTACCCTTGTTAAAACTCTTAGTGTCAACTTACTCCTAAAGTTAAATGTTCACAGCTAGAGTTGCGTATTAACCATTTTTGTAACATAATGTACTTTAACATTATCCCCCGTATTTTCAATGTATTTGTTTACATTTAGGGTTAATCTCGTTCGTACCGCCCTTGTTGTAAGGAAATCTTTAAACTTCGTTTGATAGTAGAGCCACGGAAATTATGTATGTGCACTAAACATGTTACATCTGCCAGGTCGTTATTTACCTGTTTTCTTTAAGTGTTCATTATCAACAGCACGGAATCCTTTCAGTCAGTGTACATAGATGTGTCTATCGACATTATACAATGTGACTTAATGACGTTACTATCTTGATTCCATGGCAACGGAAAAGCAATCACCGCGGAACTGATTGATCGATATTAAGCTGAAGGGATTTAGTTCAAATTTGGTATTGCAGTACAATAGTTTTTTTTTGTTTCCATGGCAAAGAAATATATGCATTGTTCAAATGTTTTAATGGGTGTATTTCGAGGCTCCATGCTATACGATGACAACGGAACGGTCTTCCGTTTGGTCAGTATTATCCGATTTAGTTTATCTTGATAACAACGTTTAAAACGAACACGCTTATAACGTACTGACGGATATAGCGTATGCTGTACATACGCTGTATATGCTTATAACGAACTACGGTTATACTGAACTAGACTTAGTGGTCCCTTGGAGTTCGTTATAACCGTAGTTTATAATGTGTGTTTCTTTCGGGATACTGGATTTGCCCACATACGCTTTATTACAATAGCAACAGCGCGGTGTCCTGATTAGTCGAATTGAGATAATAATAATTAACCCTATCGAAGATTATTATCCGATAATTATAAGTGCTCTTTATGTCACGAGGTGTAGATGATTAGCACGCAGTGAAATAACATTAAAAGATCAAAGATGGTCGCCACAGTCGCCATTTTGTTATTTACAAATCTCACACATCTAAATAAGCAAATATCTATTAATGACATCCTTTCGAAACCCTCGTGAATATCACTTCATTAGATTATTATTTTATTGTTTTATTATATTATCATTTTATTACAAATTACCTATGTGCTGATACCGTACTATTTTACAACAAATATATGGTGGATGAGAGCCTTTAATTCCTCCACACATTTGGAGATATACAAATAGAACACATCAAAGGAAAAGAACACATTTGCGAATTCAATATCTGTTTTAAAAGTTACATGTTCATGGAAAGAAGAAAGTGTTATACAGACTAATACAACATGACGAATCTCGCCATTTTGTTTGAAGATGCTTCTCGTTGTCGACTTCTTCTTTTTTCAAAGAGCGACTCGTGCTTTAATTACACGTGTTGAGCTCTTGATATCAAGATACTCCTGTAGCAACAGAAGGCCACCGAGTTATACTGACATGCATGTCTTCGCTTCAAAAGAAAACTGCCAACGTTGTATTTATTTTACCCTTGTCAGTCGCTGTCAATATGCAGAATTGACGTCAAACACGTAAAAGAAAACCACCTGAAATGATGACAGTCTCAAGCGACATGTGAGATTGAAGCCGAGCCAAGTTGCATGAACGATCAGGATATCGAGATGTTGGGAGATGTTTCGAATGATATGATGATGTGTTGTATGCCACGTGCACACTGCAGTGGAGATGCCGCAGAGGGAACCAGGGTCTCATTCCTGTTGTCTTTAAATATCATCTTTCAGCTGAATATGTTTAACATGGTGTGTTAAAATGACCTTTTCCGGCGATGTTCACGTTTCTTTAAATGTTTCCGGGGAGTTCACGATAATGATTGTAACGTTAATGGTGATATTGGTGGAGACGAGTATGATGATGAAACTTATGATGACGACGACGATGATGATGATATCGATATTAATAATGACGGTGTGTGAGAATTATGTTGACAGTGAAGATACAGATAATGAGGCATGTGGTGATGATGATGGAGATTGAGATTATGATGATGATGATGATGATGATGATGGAGTTGATGAAGATGGAGATAGTAATGGTAATGATGATGATGATGATCACGATGAAGATGGAGGTGATGAAGATGGATATGATGATGATGATGATGATCACGATGAAGATGGAGGTGATGAAGATGGATATGATGATGATGATGAAGATGATGATGATGATGATGATGATGATGATGATGATCACGATGAAGATGGAATTTATGAAGATGGAGATAGCGTTGAATATGATGATGATGATGATGATGTTGATGATGATCACGACGAAGATGGAGTTGATGAAGATGGAGATGCTGATGCTGATGTTGATGCTGATGCAGATGCTGCTGATGATAATGAAGATGGAGTTGATGATGATGATGATGATGATCGCGATGAAGATGGAGATGCTGATGCCGATGCTGATGCAGATGATGATGCAGATGATGATGATGATGATGGTGTTGATGATGTGCCATCTTTTCCATTTACAGACAAGGCATAAAGGTACTTGCTTCCAAATTTCAAGACGGACAAAAGGCCCTGACGTCAATTAACAGGTGCACGTTGATACTGGTTGTTCGATGTTTAACGATGCAGACAGGGCCATCCCATCTTTATCGCGACGGTCTGCAGATAGTGACTTCTCAACCAGACAAACCAGTGATTGATAGCACGGTCAAAGTCCCGGGCCGTGCGATGGCACACGATCAAATAGGCCTGATCAGTCGATGTCTATTTATGATTAGCACTGTGCACCGGGGTCGACGATTGGCCTGGAACAGCCGCAAGGCCGTTCATTATAAATCTACTTTAAGACTGGGCACATGTGGCCCGGTGGTCTATAAGGCGCCGTACTTCACTGTACATGTGCATGGTTGAGTTTGGGTTCGACTCCACCACTTCCCCCGTCATCATTAGTCAAGCTGAGCCCTGCCCGTGCTCAGCAAAGAGGTGAATCTTATATAGAGAGAAATAATATATGTGTGTGTCACCCCAATCCCATCCCACTAAGTTCAAAACAAAACGGATTTACACGACTCGGACCTAAATCACGATATTAGAAAACCTGATTCTTCATCTGTAATGTTTCTGTTCAGCGTTTAGAAAACAAAGTTAACGTCGTGAGCGACCATTACTTAAAATGTTAAAGTGTTTGCTCGTCACCTCAATGCCCGGGGTCGATACCACGCACCGTACAATATGTGAATCCCGTCGTTGGCGTTAAGGTGAGGTTCTCAGACAAACTTCAGGGAATCGAACCTGCTATGTACGGGTCCTGCCACGATTGACCCCTGTGCCATCCACGCTCCCTTAAAGTGCACACATAACGAAGCACATAGTTTAAAGTGCTTATCATGCGATCGTAATGTCAAACGGCCCCAAATGTATATTAGTGAGTGAGTGAGTATGGTTTTACGCCGCTTTTAGCAATATTCCAGCAATATCACGGGGGACACCACAAATGGGCTTCACACATTGTACCCATGTCGGGAATCGAACCCGGGTCTTCGGCGTGACGAGCGAACGCTTTAGGCTCTAGGTTACCCGACCGCCCCTCAAATGTATATTAAGAACCAACAACGCCAGAATAGGCCCGATGCTGATCGAATTAGCCGAAGAAGATCGGGTACTCGCAATGTGTGTGTCGGTACCTCGAGAGTGTGAAACATCGGCTCATGATATCCACCACTGGTTTTACTTCTCCCACACTGAACTACAGCTGGAGGAAAGGTTGGCTATGAAACAGTAAGGTGTTACAGGTGGTGCTAATGTGTCATTGTCAAATCAGCAGTCGTTTATTGATCCACACACCGAGGTGAAAGGTTTTCCGATGAACAATTTACTTGACTTTGCGTGTGTTTCTGACGGGTGGCGCATGTGGATCAGAATACGCTTTCGTGAACAGCTAGTATCGTCACTGTTTGATAGAGGTTCATAGGCACATGTTTATGATATAGTACAATGAATTATTCTTATGATAATGGGAATGTTTTTGTAACATTTTTCATTCAATATCATGCAATCTGTGAATCCAATCCAATAAAAGAAGAATGCACTTAATAAACCATGGCCATAGGAATAACATATACATTAATTCTTTTGGCTTTGAGAAATCGAACAAGATGTGATTTGTCAATCACCCCGAAGCCTGACATGCATCATTAGACGAACCATTCTATAGGAACCAGGTAAAGAGCTTACATTTATCGATGCCGGCTTGCATCCAGTTCCTTTGATGTGCTGTCGATTTCAGGATCTGTACATTTCTGTCAATCAGCCTGTTATATTAGCCCCGGGACACCAGAGTTTCGTTGTGGCAGGGACATTAGGCCCGGAACTAGCCCCACGAGGAATGGTTGATTATGCTCACAGTGTTCCCTAGCAGATAATTACCCTTTTGTTATAAACCGTTATATACGTTCCAAAACATGCCAGATGTCAATTACATCTTTAATGTACATGGCAAAAGAATATGTTTCGGACACAACCTCATTAGTTTTATGGTTGTTGCGTTACTTCATGTGTTGAGGATAATGGCGTACGTTCACGAACACCAGCGTTACGAGAGATGGTGGCATGGAAGCCCGGGTAATCTTCTTAGAAATGCTTAGTTTTATTTGATGCGGTTCCTGCTCAAATGAGTTGAAGGAGTTCGTGGTTTTGTACACCTATAATGAAACAGAATCACATCAGCAGTTTGATGAGGTTTTCATCTTTGAGTTGTTATTTGGGATACGGGATGTGAAGCGTTGATGGTAACGTTCAGGCAAGGCATCTGTTAGAAAGTCATCAGGTTTGACGAGGTATTACGACGAACTGTGTTGCATGATCCCTCCACTTGACTGTGATGATGAAATACATTTATCTTCGATTTCGCTCTTTGTGCAAGAGACTCCAATGGACTCAGATTGTTCTTCTATGAATATTTATAAGTTAATTTCAAAATGCCGAACAAATCGTAGGAAATGTGAAAATACATCTCTGTGTTTTCAGAAATTTGTCTGTTTTTTTTTCAAAATGTTGGCATCGCCATGGAAACGAACACGCGCGTATTCCTACGCACACATGATGTTTGTTTGTTTGTTTGTTGTTTAACGCCGCACTCAGCTATATTCCAGCTGAATGCATAGGAATGCATAGGTTTTGTTTATGTTTCAAAGTAATTGATTTCTAACACGGAACTCGGTCATATGCATGTTTGAATTATTTTCCTTGGATCGCGTGTCTTGTATGAAATAAGAGAAATGTCATTTGTCTTGACCTCGTTTTTCCAGACGATTGTTGCATATACACTGCATGTACTGAAGCCAAGACATTGGAAAACTTTTAAAAAATGATAAAAGATAAGGACAAGCATTGCAACAATCATGATGGCTCGAGGTGCAACCATATTGTGCACTGTCGTCTGAGGCTTGGCCGTAGTGAACTCATTGCGACAATCATGATGGCTCGAGATGCAACCATATTGTGCACTGTCGCCTGAGGCTTGGCCGTAGTGAACTCACTGCAACAATCATGATGGCTCGAGATGCAACCATATTGTGCACTGTCGCCTGAGGCTTGGCCGTAGTGAACTCACTGCAACAATCATGATGGCTCGAGGTGCAACCATATTGTGCACTGCCGCCTGAGACTTGGCCGTAGTGAACTCATTGCAACAATCATGATGGCTCGAGGTGCAACCATATTGTGCACTGTCACCTGAGGCTTGGCCGTAGTGAACTCATTGCAACAATCATGATGGCTCGAGGTGCAACCATATTGTGCACTGCCGCCTGAGACTTGGCCGTAGTGAACTCATTGCAACAATCGTGATGGCTCGAGATGCAACCATATTGTGCACTATCGCCTGAGACTTGGCCGTAGTGAACTCATTGCAACAATCATGATGGCTCGAGGTGCAACCATATTGTGCACTATCGCCTGAGACTTGGCCGTAGTGAACTCATTGCAACAATCATGATGGCTCGAGGTGCAACCATATTGTGCACTTTCGCCTGAGACTTGGCCGTAGTGAACTCATTGCAACAATCATGATGGCTCGAGGTGCAACCATATTGTGCACTATCGCCTGAGACTTGGCCGTAGTGAACTCATTGCTGATAGATTTATATGTTTATACAGTAAACTACGTTTATAACGAACACGCTTATAACGAACCGGCGGATATAACGAACTGTTTTTTGGGTCCCGTACATTTGCTGTATATATGCTGTATATATGCTTATAACGAACTACGGTTTTAACGAACTAAAATTTGTGGTCCCTTTGAGTTCGTTATAACCGTAGTTTACTGCATCAGCTGGTACAGATTGTTCTCGTGGCAACCACCATGAAGATGCACCACTGTTTCTTTACCTGCACCAACTACACCGGCATGAGAAAAAAAACATGTTTTTTTACTCAAAGGTTATGATCTAAAGTCTATTAATTATGGAAATGCAAATGTTACGGTAAAGATTAATTTCGAAATTCTAAAATATGTTCATAATTTCATATCAGCCTCTGGCAGATTTCCAAACTTTGTCTAATTGCAAACTATCGTTTAGTCTCTCATGTTACTGAATTTTGCTAACATCGTTTTACTTCAGCACGTTCAGAGTCGAAAACTGTGTTTTTATGAAATATAATTGCCTTTGTTCTTCCCCTTGACTGTGCGATTTTACTGATGACATTGTGCGACAACTGGAGTGGTATTTACTTGTTTACCAATCCAGTTTCACATATTCTGTGAATTAAATATGTTTGAAACATTTACAAATTGACAATACTCCGTAAACTTGATTCGTTAATCCAGACATTCATCAATCCGGACGATTTCAGAGGGACATATCTGTCCGGATGAAGGGGTTTCATTGTATTGATATCTAGAACAACCCCGTACCATGATTCGTTAATCCGGACATGTGTTAGTCCGGACGATCTCAATCGAAAGAGAACAGTCCGGATTACTAAGTGTTCACTGTATATTGTTAATGTAGATTTTTGTACATAATATACCGACAGGTGTTGGGGATTGGGACTAGAATTACCATCCGGTGAGCCGAAGGTCGGTGGTTCGATCCCCGGTCGCGTCATACCTTAATACTTATTGTTACCCTGCCTGGCGCTGGGCATTAAGGGAATATAACACGGACTGGTTGACTCGGAGTCAGTATACCGTGGGGTAGTCCTGTTAAACTGCGGCATGGAATCTCAGTGGGCTTGCACTATAGAACACATAGGCCAGCCCGTGCCATGACAAGCAGCCAGACACACACATGTACATAAACACAGACTCACTCACTCACTCACTCACTCGGGGGCACGGGTGGCCCAGTCGTCTAAGCGATTCGCTGTGCAGAGTTGCGACCCTTGGACACGCCAGAGACTTATGATTGTGGGTTCGAATCCCGGTTCGTCCCGATTATGTTTCTAGGTTTGTCAGTACCATACCCGTGCCCGTCGGTTTCAACGAAGTTTCACTTTCGTTGCTAGAACATATAATCCAAAAATGAATAT